AGACACAAGGGCAGAGAAAAGGTGAGTTGAGTACTGTGAAGGGGTCGAACATGACATACAGTAGGGTCATGGTAGTTTGAAGTCAGAGGCCAACTACCGATTTATAGACTTTTTTGCCGTATGAGTATACGTTGCCCAGGGTGCACCACGTGGAGGTAAGTCTATTGCACACCCCACTTTATGTCATAAAATATCCTTTAAGGAAGGAATTAATTTAAAATATCAATTTACGTTTTAGATTACTGAATCATTTTAAAAATACTTAACCTTGCATATTGAAAATCGATTTTATCGATTGCTGAAGAGAAAGAAGATATTATTTTAATTTATATAGTCCCTAAATGCATATAGAGGGAGAGAGTGAGCAGAGTTTAAGGAAGTAGCTGACTAGAAGCCGAGAGTAAATCCACTGTGCCGAAAGTTGTAATTCATATAAATTCTTTTCTCCATGATTTTTGCTTAGATTTATTATTGTAGATTGTATAATTTGCCGCCTGAAATGTGAAAACGAATTCTTGCCCCCCCCCCCCCCCCCCACCTGATTTCCACATCCAATTGATTTATTGATTAACTTGTTTGGCACTTTCATTCCACACATTTGAGTAATTTATACCTGACCAATAGCATGGCAGGAGAAGAATAAGTATTGGCATTATTTACCTCAGCTGAACTCACAGCAGTAGCAGCAGAAGTAGAGCAGTGGTGTTGCACTGTGCATTCAATCGCTTTATTTATTTTCAAAAGTAATTTTTAGACTTTTCCTTTACTTCGTTTATTATGCTGTGTGCACACTGTTTGCAGTGAGTTTATGGCTAAATTATCTAGTGCACAACTAATAAACACTAAGGAAAAAAGCAGCAGAGAAAAAAGTAAACTTTAAGAAAGGAGAAAAAACGAAAAAATGCATGTAGTTGCACCTGGTAAACACCAGCTATCAGTCATGATTTTACCATCCTGTCAAACGAATTGTGGTTACTATTTACATATATTTCGAACAAAATTCGCACCTTTCTATATTATATTCAACGAGGGTGAAAGAGAGGCGTTCGATGTCTTTGTTGTGAAATCAAGTAAGGGAATTTCTACAATAGTTGTTTTGCACCAAAATTAAGTTTGATTAGAAAGATTTAGAACTCAGAGATTTTTTACCTACTTATAACCGAATATTCTGGTAAGCCCCCTAGCTAGATTTTGAGTCTAAAACAAGTCAGTAAGCTGGGTTATAAGCTACTAGCACATTTAAACAAGATGAAAATAATACATAAGTTTGACGACGCGGATTTGTTATGAGGTTCCATCGTTAGTTTTTGAAATGGGGTCTAATATCGATTTGTAGTATCTTGTTCCAAATCATTTTTAAAAGACTCGAATGATGGCAAAAATCTTGGATAAAACATTCCTTTTTGTGCCAATTCATAACAAGTAGACCACTTCACGATTGTCTATTTTATTTTAAACGACGGATAGTAAAACGGCCAGTTACTTGCGAGTCCTTTGAACAGAATGACTCTAGTATCAGTGACCACGAAAACTTTAACGGATCCTATTAAAATATTTCGGTTTTTAAAACACGCATGAAATAGTTTAGCGCCATTTTATGCACAAATACTGCTGGCAAAAATATCGCATGCTTGCGAAAGTATTTTAACAATTGCATGAAAATAATACCGCTTTCCTCAAGTACTAGATTCTAAGCCAATGGTTACTACCATTCAAAATTTTAGTAGTCGATTTATTTTGATAATCGGAAGTGGGGCTTTAAAGTTAATTAACTTGGCGCCTTCATTCCGTTTTTTTGCGGTTTTAAGCATATTCCGGCGGCAATTTTGGATTGCTTATTAATAAAACGAAGAAAAGATTTTTGAAAGCCTGTGGTGAAAGTAGTAAGCATTTGAAATTCCATATTAATAGTTTAAGTAACGAAAGTTTCTATTACTGCTTTCTCATTAATAATTAAATATTGGGTAACTTTTAGGAGTTGATTACTTCTTTTCTCGTTTAAAATGCATAATAGGGTATGCAAAACGAGTGATTATTTAATAATTTACGAAAATTATTAACGAAATATTATCGATTTGGCAAAGTTAGACGAGTGACTGTTTTTAGTTTTTTTTTATCAAAAAGGGAAGGTATGTATGGTTAATTGAATGCTAAATTTAATTTGCCTTTGAAAATAATTTTCGTGCTATGCTCACACGACGAAAACAAAAAGACAAATACTTGTTCATAAAAACAAAAGAATAATTTTGTCAAAAAATGCTTTCCTTAAATGTAAAAGTAGCAAGAACCTTAACTACAGTTGGTGAATCAGGCTTATTATTTTAAGTATAACCTTTACACATTTCAAATAGGCGGTGTTTAATAAGTTCTGAACGTGCAAGATAGCCTATGTTATATGTAGTCACAGACACGGCTGACACAGATGACATTGGCCACTCAACCAGGCAGCAAACAAGCAGTCTCATGCAGTCAGCCAATCACCCTTCTGATCGTACACACATGCTTGCACATTAGTACACGCGCCAAACACAAACTCTCACTGGGCGCTAAGCTCGCATTCTCTGCAGCGACGACTGATAGATTGCTTCGACTTCAATGTTCCGAAGCCCAGTGGGCCCTCCGGTGCTCCCACTTTTGTTGGTATTGGCAGCAGTGTTGCCGTGGGTCGTGGGTCAGCACTATGAGGTGGTGACCCCTCGACCACCAGGAAATAAAAATCAGTGCCTTTCAGGCTGGCTTCCGATTCTATTAGGATGTGTCCTTCTCGTAGCCACTTGGATGACCAATTGCACCCTATTGGGGGGCGTCTTTCAAGTGATAGCGAACCCTGGAGTTGTGAGAGTTGCTTACTACTTCGTTGGCTCCCAGACTATTGCTTCACTCATCTACTCAACACTGAATCTTCCTCCTGGATTGCTTATTCTCCTCTTCGGTTAGTCGCTTTTGTATTGACATTATTTTTGATAGAAGCTATTTCATGCAGCACCAAGACCCCCATTTCTCAATATTCAATATTAAATTGAAAGTGTAGTTAGCATACCTGATATTAGGAAAAAAAACCAAGAAAGTAATATCTGGTTGACTTTTAAGATACATCGTGATAATTCGTGCTAACAATCAAAATGAGCTGATTGTGGTAGCTGTCCAATGCCCCCCAACACTGTGAAAGAAATCTGACATGAAATGGAGCACTGCAATAAGGACTATGAGGATGAATTGGTTAGAAGAAGAGTATAAAAAATCTGATCTGCTTGCACTCGCATAGTAGGTTTCTTCGAAAAGAGGTGTTGGAGCACCCTGACATCGTATTTCGGTCTTTCACTCCATAGTTAAGTGAACCCTTCAGTATCTACCACTAAATCTGCACTGAATGAATGCCTTCTCTACCACAAGCTCACACAAGTACCTCAAACATATTTTGACAAAGGTGAAGAAAGATCCTAACACAGGGAAATATTGATTTTGAAGGGTAAAAAAAGTAATCCGGCTCTTCAACGATGATAAACACTTTTGAGATGGCTTGATTTGCATGCAGTCCAAAAGACACTCCACAAGACATGCATACAGAATCTCCTCAAATTCTCATGGTTTCCGGATGCCTATTCACTTTTCCCCCCAACCGCGATTGACATGTCGCAATCGCTTCCTCGGCTTTTTTAGGGATCTCGTTAAGGCTTGAGCCGAATTTAAATGCATCTGTAGAACTGATAACTGCGGTGGTAGTTAGTCCCCGAACAGCGTACGAGGGTGGTAAATAACAAACCATATGTGTGAGTGCGGCCACAGAATTCGACCACCTGTCACACCTGAAGAAAATGTTGACAATATTTTTCCTCCAAACTCTCCTTATCTTAACTCGATGTACTATTACGTATAATATTGGTGGAAGTCAAAACAGTCATTATTCGCACGCCAGTCCTCTAAATGAAAACCAGTTAATGGACAGAGTGTGAGCTATTCTTGAAACCCTTCCCTGAGAAAGTGTTGAGTCAGCTTTCTCTAGGCCCCCGTATCGGGGTCCGTTCCAGATCCAGGACCGGATTTAAAACCGTAATCGCCCCAATTGAATTGACTTTGGATCCAATCAATTTTGATATTTTCAATCACTTTCCCTTTTACTAGATAGGACTGCAAACGGTTACCTTGAACTTCTGTTTTATCATTTGCTTCTCATGTTGTACAGTTATTGCATTATAACTAGGGCTAGTATTTGTTAAAATGGTGGATAACATAAGGAGAACTTTATGAAAGTGGTAGAGTTTTCTTGAGATGCTCTGGTAACTCGGATCGAATATCGTACTGGGAGGGACTTGAAAGAAGTTATAGCTGAGTTGAGTTCGCTAAATAAAGCGCCTTTTTTATAATTATAGGTCTCTAATATTCTAGCTATCGTTAGTTAGGAATGTTATATTTATTTTCAAACTATTTATTATAATTTTGGGTACTTGTCTAATTTTTTGTTGTATTTAGGCGGTGTTTTATTGTGAGCAACAAAATTTGCTTGTTCATTTATTTTTAGAAATTTTATTATTTGGTTACATAATTTAATTAATTTGCTCCTTGTTTACTTTTCTCTTTTGTCATTACATTTAAAGCGTAATCGTGCTCCCTAATTATAATACGGAAAGCGAAAAATTTGATCTTTAAAATTTAGTTAACACTCTCAATAAAATGTACTTTTAAACGCCTGAACGTTAAAAAAATAGAAGGCGTTTGGCTATTGAAAACAACTTTTCGCTTTTTATAATCATCTCTTCGCATTGAAAAAGAAACGGGCATTAATCAGTATTAAAGCATTCATTGTTTCTTATGAATTACATGAAACTTTTCTTAAAATATCTGCCAACACAGTTAAATTATTGATACTGTTATGGTACTAACATAATAATATTAATAATGATAATAATAATCAATGTAAGTGGACTATTAATTTTGAACGAATTAACAGAAAAGTTGGTGGTATTTTGGGGGCATATTTGTTTAATGTATTTTTCATTTTCGAGAAATGAATAAAAAATACCTTTTTAATGAATAGTAACAACAGTACTTATCGAAAGGTTATATCAAGATTATGAATTGATCAAAAAGGTGCATAGTATTCAGGTTCTTCCACATTGACTTGAAGGAACTGTTAAATTCACCTTTTGCCATTCGTACATTTTGACGTTTTCTTCCCCAGCCACATTAATCTTCAATTCATGTTGTATCTTTCAGAGCTGTCTCGATGAAAGGTACTCTGAAGGGAAGGGGGCAGCAATGAAGAGAATATATTTTTGTTTCCTGATCTATTCGTTCTCTACAAATTTGTTGCATCAAAACTACATTTACTGGTTCTTCTCTTTCTCAATTTTGAAGTTAGGGTACCTCACAAGTTAGATTCTCGAATTTGAGTTTTGGCAACCAAAGTTAATTGCATTTGTGAAGGCATTAAACAAGTGACAAGTGCGTCAGCCTGCTTAAAAGCAGAGTCTATCTGATGAAATTATTGTAGCAATACTTTACCAAGGGTAGCATCCTATATGTTGTTAGTACTTAAAAGTAAAAGTTGAGATTTTGACATCAGCGAGATAAAACCCAGGCCGGCTTAAATGTAAAGTTGGGGAATGATCTAGGAATGCTAATTAGTAACGGCCTAATTTTTCAATTCCACAAATTTGTAAACCAAACTCTCCCCTCCCCCCCCCCCCCCCCCCCCGCCCAATTCTCGATCGATTTCATGTGCGCAGTATGCAGAGCTAGTTGTCTGGTTTACTTATTTCACTGACTTCACTGGCTTCACATTTTTATTCACCTGCATAGACTTACAGCCTAGTGGATTAGTTAATTAAGACTACCAACCGAGGAGATCTCACTGGGGTTTTAATCAAAGTGACTGGAATTTTCGACTATATTGATTTATACTTGTCAGGATGGGGTATTACAGATTGTTTGTTTGCCAAATGCGTGGTTGATTTCTCTATTGACCCCCCCCCCCACCACGTTGTTATGATTTAACTAATATTATTTGCGACTAGCGGCAGTTATATAATCCGACAATATAAACGTCCCATTCGAATAATAAGTCTTAAACTTCTGGAATAAATAGTCATCCACAATGATCAGGAGCTAAGAAATCATTTTATCGAGAATTCGCCAAGAGAGGGGTTTATTTTTAGTATCATTAACTCACCCTTTATAGCACGTAAAGAGAAAAAGCGCAAGCGTTTTATTTGAATGTTTATTTATATAAAATGGCAGGCGTTTTGATAGTTATCATTAGCCCTTCAGTCGACTTCAGGCTTCACAGAGAGGAGGAGGAACATCAAAGTGAAAATAAGTCGAGTGGAGGGGGGGGGGTGAGTAGAAGAGTGTTTCAAAGATGTAAATGAGACAGACACAAAGGTGAAAAAAAGGGTGAGGTGAGTACTGTGAAGGGTTTGAATATGACATACAGTGAGGTGATGATAATTTGATGTCAAAAGTCAACTGTCGGTTAATAGACTTTTTTGCCGTATGAGTATACGTTGCCCAGGGTGTTCCAGGTGGAGGTAAGTCTATCGAACTCCCCTTGATCTGAATGTAATAGGAGCTGAAGATGGCCCAGATGAATTGAAAGTTGAATCAAGTTAGCGTTAAACAATATCAGGTTATCTCTACTAGAATGTTTATTTCGGAGCCTCAGTTTGTGCTTTTTGAGATTTAAAATGCTGAAAATGAATTAATAATTCACGTTCTATTTCAGCATTCTGTTGGAATTTTGACATCCATTCAATGCAACTATTCATTATAGTCACCAATAAAACTGTCACGCTTTTTAGTTAATTTTTTATTTCGATCGATCTAATCGTGTCAGGCAGTTAATTTATTTTTTAAGTAAGTGATTTTTTCCGCGAAAATGCTACACGGGATATTTTGGCCAAGTTCAAAATTAGTTTAAATAAAGGCAAATAATGATTTACCTCAGTTAAGCAAATTATTAAAATATGGGAAAATTTTAGTTCTGCATTTGCACATCTCAAAGATGGGAAAATAACTTATGAAAGTTTGGTAATTCCTCCAAAGAAATCAATTTTAATTTCATTTACCGCTGGTGAACAATGAAATGTGAGAATAAGCTCAAACTCATTCCGAGTATTCACTGATAAGTCGTTAATTCCTACGCATTGAAATGTAGTGCATAAAAACCCAATAATTGATATACCAACATTCAAGAGATGAATTTTATGAATTTTACAAGGGTGCAAGGAATATGTATGAATTGGTTTCCTAATGCAGACATGAATTCTACGATCCTCTTGTTGATTAGAAAGAAAAGCTTGGTTCGAGCACCTCTATTGCTAGTGGTAAATTAGTGAGTATTCGCAGTGTGCGCATGAACATCTCATCTCCATCAATTTATTGTTTCATTTATTTCGCTATGCTTTGCGATTCAAGCTGATTACATTTTCCTCTTGTAACATTTATCAGATTTTGAAATATAGGCCAGTCCCATTAGATAAATGAACAAGTAATTTTTAGCTATAAAGGTGAAGAGATCCAAAAAGAAATTTGATGGGCTAGGAAATTGTACTATTAGTTTTAAACCAAATTACAGCTATTAGTGTCGACTAAAGCCGAATGTTTTTAGTACTTGTGTGAGTTTGTGGCAGAGAAAGTATTCATTCAGTGCAGATTTAGTGGTAGAGACTGAAGGTTTCACTTAACTGTGTAGTCAAAGACCGAACTACGATGTCAGTGTGCTCCAACACCTCTTTTCATTTGCGGATTTTCGAAGAAACCCACTGTGCAAGTGTAATCAGTTCCGATTTTTTATACTCTTCTTCTAACCAATTCAGCTTCATAGTCCTCATTGCAGTGCTCCACTTCATATCGGGTTCCTTTCACAGTGTTGAGGGGCATTGAACAGCTACCACAATCAGCTCATTTTGAATGTCAGCAGGAGACATCATGATGCACGTTATTCTTTGCCTTATTTAGGGTGGGTTCCAGTCATCAATCATTCTCGTTGTCGTTGTATATGAATGAGGAAAGGGTTGAACTCTCGCAGCTATCATAGTGTGCGTGTGCGCATGAACCTGAGAAATCATCCAAAAATTATTTTGTTAAATTATCTCGAACACCCTGTAGGTAGAAATATCTATTTATTAATTTATATCAAATGGCAGGCGTCTTGATGGTTATCATTAGCCCTTCAGTTGACTTCAGGCTTCACATAGGGGAAGGAACATCAAATTGAAAAAAAGTTGAGAGGGGGGAACAGAAGAGTGTTCAAAGATGTAGATGTGACAGACACAAAGGTAGAAAAAAGGTGAAGTGAGTACTATTGAAGTGGTCAAATATGACATTGAGTCCGGTCATGATAGTTTGAAGTCGGAAGTCAACTGCCAGTTAATAGACTTTTTTGCCATATGAGTATACGTTGCCCAGGGTGCACCACATGGAGGTAAGTCTATCGCACACCCAGGTAGAAATATCTAATTCAGGCCTTATGCAATCGAATTGAATTAATATTTGTTTCTTGACATTTCGTTAGCAGCATTAAGTGATATTACAAATAATTTAATTAATCTTATTAAGAATAGTTTCCATGTGGTATTTAGGGGCAAAATCAACGGCAAATATTTATCCTGGAAATCAAATTAACCGAAAACCTCCATAAAAGTAGCGAAAATTCATAAACACAACAACATTCCTGATCTGCGATTATAAAACTGCTGAATGCCTTTTTGTTTTGTGTAAAGTACATTTTTTCGCATTTCACTTTGTTAATTAGATTTCCATCTCCAAATGCTTTTGTAATTAAATTCTTTTCAAAATTCATATTTGTTAATATAACTGAACTTTGATTGCACATTTCAATATCGTTAAGTGCAATATTTAAAATTTCATTTTTTTTGTATGAATTTACGTCTGATTTTGCCATTTCGTTATCTCAAGTAGCGCTGAAGTTGGTTTAATTACAGCCCTTTAGGGTGCGAGGTGTAAAAGAAATATAACAGGAGAGTGGAAATAGAATTTAAACAAAGCCTATACAATCAGAGTACGATTTTGTTTCTTTAATAGGTGTTCAATTATCCCTGAAATTATACGAGACATTAAAGATTTAGGAATTTTAAAATACCTTAACATTGTAGGCAAGTGAATAGCTTTTTTAATTAGAAAACTTAGTATATAATAGACCCACCAATTTTAAAGAATCGATTTTCAATAAAATCTGGCTATTTTTTCCCAATTCTATTAGATTGACGAGTTAATTTTTTATAAAAAGTTTAAAGAGTGTTTTACTTTTAGTTTTCTATCCACGAGGAGTGCTCCAAATTAGAGATATGGGAAGCATATGTAGAATTCGTAAATAGAATTTAGGTCACTGAATGAGCCTTATTTATCTTGGTTTCTGGATACTTCAGAAATTCCGTTTTCAACTTAAAGGGCGCGATTCTTTGCTTACTATTCTAGAACCGCCAGATGTTGAAGTTCAGAAACTAACATGTGAGCTTCCGAGCGCTAGTATCATTTCCACATGCCAAAAGGCCACAACTTGTTACTTCCAAAGGGGTATTTCACTCAGTGTACCATTCATGGTTAGAAAACCGGTCACTGACCACCAAACACCATGGCGGCCATTTGCTGTAAATCGGGAATCGATTCATGAAATTTGAACTTTGGAATATGCACCACCCACTGAGTGCGGTTTCATAACCAGAGTCCAAGGATCACCGGAAGCAAGCTCATTTGATACCTTGACATTACTCTTCGAACCTCTTTCATGCCCACCTTCGTGTGGTTATTTGGCTTTCGGGTTTGAATTTCATTCCATCGGCAGTGAACACTGAGTCCAAAATTGTCTGCATATTGAATGTTTGGGTGTAGAAAGCGCTCTTCTTCAGTCTCAGTGCGCCATGAAAGCTGATTCATATTATTCTTATTGGTTTTAGTATCCATGTTTATCAAAATTTGACATTGGGGGGGGGGGGGGGGGGCAAGAAAACATGGGAAGTTGACTTTTTTTTAAAACAATTTAAAAATTGGAAGTAATCCTTGCGAACCGAGACGAAGTACTTGGAGATTATAGAATAAATGTTGCTTTTTATTTTACGTTTATAATTTCGTAAAAGTGAGTAAAAGGTAAGAGCGTTATTGACTTAACTGCAAAGTCCTTACCGTGAACGCATACACTTGAATGAAAAATCTTAGCGGCAATTGAATTAAATGAAGCGACCATCGAAGAATGTCGAAGTTGCTTTTTTTGCCACCAGAAGGCATACTTTATATTGACATTATGGGGCGTGCGATAGACTTACCTCCACGTGGTGCACCCTGGGGAACGTATACTCATGCGGCAAAAAAGTCTATTAACTGTCAGTTGACTTCTCACCTCAAACAACCATCACCCCCACTGTATATCATATTCGACCCCTACCTGAGTACTCATCTGACCCTTTCTGAGCCTTTGTGTCTGTCTGTCTCTTTTACATCTGTGAGTCACTCTTCTATTCTCCCTCCCGAATTCTTCTCACTTTGACTGCTATTCCTCCTCCTGAATTCTTCTCACTTTGATGTTCCTCCATCTGTGAATCACTCTTCTTTTCCCCCCTCCCGAATTCTTCTCACTTTGATGTTCCTCCCTCATCTGTGAGTTCCCCCTCTTGAATTTTTCTCACTTTGATGTTCCTCCCCTCTGTGAAGCCACCAGAAGTCAAATAAAGGGCTAATGATAACCATCAAAACGCTTAGGCTAATGATAACTATTAAAACGCCTGCCATTCGTTATAAATAAATAAATATTGACATTATTGTCAATACCATAAGGAATTATATAATAAGTAAATAAAATGTCAACGTCACGTGGCTTCTAACCCCCTCTCTAGATGAAAAATCCTTATTTAATCGCTAATAAATAATAAAAAGAAAATATGCATTAATTCAATATAACTGGAAGTGTGCCTGCCTAATCCAAGTTCTACTTTCCTTTCGTACCGTATGAAAATTAAAAAAAAATATTTGACATTAGATTGCTTTGATAAGAAACAGCGTAAAGTTATATAAATTAATAATAACAAATAGTAGGTTGTGTGAACAAAAAAAGTTATCAGATCGTAAAAACGCCACATATCCGCCACTTTTTAATAATTTTTGGGAACGGTTTTAACTATTTTTTTAAATTTAATTCATCCTAGCTTTAAAATGGTCGCCTTTGTTTTTATTTTTCTCATCCCTAAGGGCGATAAAACAATCGAATTTAGTTTGTTTGCTATAGTTACACCATCACTTGATATGGAATTGTTCCAAGTTGCTTAATTCCCTAATGCTACCTTTTTAGTTCCATTAATTTGAAAAATGCGATAACTTTGTTGCCCGGGAACTCTATACTAGTAATTTGTCTAGTTAAATTCAATGAGTTCACTTCACAAGACCTCACTACTCAGGTGACACTAACCACCACAACGAATGCCTCTTTTCAATTTAATCTCTTCCATTTCGCCTTAGTTAATCCACTTTCCGCATCAGTTATTATCCTTATCATTTCTTTCTATTCCCTTTGCAGGTTCAACAAGCATGAACTCCTACTTAGGAGTTTTCTGTTTATTCTCGACATACTTGGACACTCTTTTCTGCAATCTCTCCCTTCTGCACGCCTTTTGTTCTGGCCTTGATTCCTACCTCCGACTCTTAAGAAAAAGAAACGGGTTTGAAAATGCAAACCGAAAATCTGGTCGTCAGGCAACGCTTTGGCTCAAAATCAGCTTCCCTTGGTTCCTCTCTGGCATTTTAGCCATTGCTCAACTGGCCGTTAGTGACCGAGGTCTCGCTCACCTATCTGAAGACTGTCAGAGACAATTTCTTCCAGCTTTTACAAATCAGTTAGAAGCAGCCTGTGTAGTCGTTGAACCAAATTTCCTGATTCTCCGAACTTCAATCGCTTACGCCCTTCCGTTAATCGGGTGTCTCATCCTAACTGGCCTTCAAGTTCGTTGCCTCCGAAGACTACGATTCGTACCCCCAGATTATGCCCTTGAGCTACGAAGTAATTGTTCAATTCGACGAGATGTTACTCTTGAAACCCTAGCTCCGAGTTCTGAAATGGGCAAGTCCAGTTCTCCAGACACTCTCGAAAAGGTCCGTGATTGTCCACGACATGGAAGAGTCGCCTATGATTCGGAACCCACTGACCATGAAGAGATTAAACATCCTACTTCAACTGCTACAACGGCTATTCTAATGAATCAGTGGTTCCAAACCTACAAGGAGGAACAGTTAGCAGTTGCAATTAACATGGTCTCTTGCATTGTCGCTGTGGGAGTCTGGTCGCCTCTGATCTTGTCCAGTCTTGCTTATGGCCTGTGTCATACACCAGAAAATGCGAAGACATTCAAACTGCCACTCTATCATATCCCCGGTGTTGATTTATCGAAGTATCGTCCAGCTAAGTGTTTCATTCAAGTTGCAACTTCGAGACTAGCAGACTTTCGTTGGTGGGTCTTTGCTAGCACCGGTCTCCTTCTGCCTCTGGCCCTAATTTTAATGGATAGGGATCTCAGACAAGCCTGTTGGCGTTCTCTGGGCTTGAAAACTCCCTCCACTCTGAGAGGAAATAGGAAAGTATCTCGGAGGTGTCACGTGGTTACACATAAAAATGACACAATTCCATCTACTTCTCGTTCTGTGTTTTAGGTGGCGTTGATGATGACATAAGTTACCCAAGCTTGTTTTCAATTCCATTGTTTGTATTAATGCGTTTTAATGTTGTATGTTGGATTTATCTATTGTACAAATATATCAAATTTAAGAATGCCCCCCCCCCTCTTTGAGCACGCATCTATCATTATTGATCATTGAAAGTTAAGACGATGTCGATTCTCCCTTGGGAAAACACCTAACTTCGGGTGTTGTTAAAATATTCTCATTTGTGATAAAGAGAAGTTCATCAACCAGAAGATGAGAAAATGAAGTAGGTGCATCAGAAATGGATGTCAGGTAGTATGCTTTCTCTTAATTAGTAGTTAGTTCACTGCTTTATGCTTCAAAATGGAAATTTCACAGGAATTTCCTTTTCCCCAAAACGTAGAGTTTATTGACCGATTGGTCAATTGCTTAAGTGCATTTCTAAAGAAGAACGTTTGTATAGCACACCTGTTTAAAATTATGATCTTACTAACATACTTGTAATTAATTTAATGATACAGTCGTGGTAGATAAATACAGTTTGGGTGACGTCGAAGGTCGAATGATTACTTTCGGAATCTAAATAGTTGGAAGTGGGGTGTGTGATAGACTTCCCTACACGTGGTGCACCCTGGGCAACGTATGCTCATATGGCAAAAAAGTCTATTATTCGGTAGTTGACTTCCAACTTCAAACTACCATCACCCCACTCTATGTCATATTTGACTAATTCCACAGTACTCCTTCACCTTTTTCACTCTACCTTTTTGTCCGTCCCTTTTACATCTTTGACAAACTTCTGTTCCCCCCCCCTCTCTCGATTTTTTTTCATTTTGATGTTCCCTCCACTCTGTGAAGCCTGAATTTAACTAAAGGGCTAATGACAATTATCAAAATGCATGCCATTTGATAAAAATTTATATTCGGAATTATTTTTGTATCGTAGGTCATAAACTACTTATTCTGTTGGCTTGGCAATTAAAATATAAATTTAGCGCCATGATTAACTATTAAAGAAATATAAATAGACAAGCCATCAAAAATGCATTCAATAAATTTTTCTAGTGAGGTATTATTTCCAAAGACAAATTAGGCAACTCATTGTTTTACTAATTTTAAACAACTTAGCGTAAATAATTTCTCAGTTTATTAATTTTACTTTTTTATTTAAAAAATTACTTAAACACAGGGACACGTTGTCAGTAAAATGTTGATATCGATGCAAAAAGGAACTTTACGAAATTACCAAAAAATTTCCTCG